TTTCCCTAGGGATTCCGAGTGGATTTACCGATCAAGTCTGCACGGTACCGTGGGCAGTACAGCAGCTACCCAATCAAACTCTTTTATACCTCCAACATTCCCATCATCCTGCAGTCTGCCTTAGTTTCCAACCTCTACGTCATTTCCCAGATGTTGTCTGTTCGTTTTAGTGGCAACTTCTTGGTGAACTTGCTAGGGCAGTGGGCAGTAAGTGTTTTATCACGTTTAACTGCATGAAGTTATTTGTGTATATTACTGCACTGTGAGACTTTGGTATTTAACCAGGAGGAGACTGGAATTCTGACTTTGTAACAGTTGTCTCTGAAAGCTGTTTTAAACATCCCAGGGGAATTCCTCTGTAAGTACCGAATAGGAATGTGGGAGGTGTGTGAGAGGTAACTAATTGTCTTTTCCTTCCCCTCTCAGGATGTCAGTGGTGGTGGCCCTGCTCGCTCTTACCCTGTTGGTGGCCTGTGCTACTACTTGTCCCCTCCAGAATCCATGGGTGCAATATTTGAGGATCCTGTCCATGTAATAGTTTATATAATATTTATGTTGGGATCCTGTGCATTCTTCTCCAAGACTTGGATCGAGGTCTCTGGCTCTTCAGCTAAAGATGTAGGTGTTCTGCCCAAGTGATTTCAGACAGTGCCTCTGGTTCAGAGCTACTGACTGATCAGTTGTTATCCTCACCCTGTGAAATGCAGCAGTTTGGTAAAATGATGTGTTTTGCAGGTTGCCAAGCAACTCAAAGAGCAGCAAATGGTGATGAGAGGCCACAGGGATACTTCAATGGTTCATGAGCTTAACAGGTAAGGAAAGGCTGATGTCCAGCTCAGAGTGCTGGGGAAGTGTCAGCTAGACCATGTGTTCTTGGAAAAATCTGAGACCTGTTTCCACTACAAATGGGAAGATTCTTCCCATTCTTCTGTCCCCTTTCCTAGTTACACACAAGATGTTACAGCAGTAGGTTAGAGATTAACCTGTAGTGTCTTTATTTTTACGTGACATAATGAGGAAATTTGAGTTGAATCTCTTCTGTGTTTGTAAATAAAGATACCTTGATTTTTACAGAGGTTAAATTTACCATTACTGCCCTAGGACAGCACTACCAAAGCTGTACTTTACACAGTGTGTAAAACCTGCAGAGCTCTACTGAAAGGTATCTTGATTCATAGGCATTTAAGCCAAAGCAGTTACTCTCAGTCCTCTGGAGGTAACACGGCACACATACATGAAAAGTTGTTAAAATAATGAATTGAGAAGCTTTGCCAGTGCAGGATTATTGACACAGCTTTCCCAGCAGTGAACATTTACTTTAGTTTCTGCTTTGTGCAAGGATGGAAGGCAGTAAAGAGCTCATGGCAGGGCTGCATTTGCAACACTAAATTTACTGCTCAGTATTCAGAGAATCACAGAATGGTTTGGGTTGGAAGGGACCTTCATTTAGTTCCAACCTCCTGTGATGGACAGGATGGTACTCAGTACACCACATTGCTCAGGGCCACATCCAACCTGACCTTGAATATTTCCAGGGATGAAACAGCCACAGCTTCTGTGGGCAACCTGTGCCAGTGCCTCACCACCCTCACAGGGAAGAACTTCCTAACATCTAATCTAAACCGTCATTTTATTCCAGTTGGTTGTTTTCACAGTATTGGTGGAATCCTTGGATGACAATCCATGGTTACAAATCCCTTTCTCTCTCATTTTCCCTTGGCACAGGTACATCCCCACGGCGGCTGCGTTCGGGGGTCTGTGCATTGGTGCCCTGTCGGTCCTGGCTGACTTCCTGGGAGCCATTGGCTCTGGCACTGGCATTCTGCTTGCAGTCACTATTATTTATCAGTACTTTGAAATATTTGTAAAAGAGCAGGCTGAAGTTGGAGGAGTAGGTGCATTATTTTTCTAGATGTCCAAATATTCCCTGGTTTGTGTGAAAGGGAAGATTCCTTGACAACACGCGTCATTTAGTCCGATAATGCTCTTTTCTTTTTACTCGTCTTCAAGTGCTACATGTCCCATTACTGTAATGGGCACTGAGCAATGCCTGTGTGCAGCATTAGTACCAGCTGCCTTAAGAATAAAGTTTACATTATCTTGTTTAAGTATTATCTAGTGTTGCCTGTAATGCTGGAAACAATTCATCTACCTTGCTGTTCAGACACTACAGTGAGATGGTCAGACGTATCAGTTCGAGAGTGGTAAATGTCTTTGCACACAGCAGTAAAATGTTACATTGATTTCCCTGCCCTTATAGGAGAAAAAAAGATCTGAGTTCAGATTGCCACGTGCTGGCAATTCCTGACAAAATTTATTTATATTTTACATTAATTTTTTTATACTTTTTTAACCTGCATTTCCCCATCGTTGAACTCAGCACTCCTTATTCCTTTGCGGTGTCTCCACCCAGGCACCTCTCTCTTAGCTCTAAGGCAAAACATTTTACTGGAGACTGATACTCATCTCACCTGTGAATGGTTCTGTGGTGGATTTGCTGCATCCTGGGGCCTGGGGCAGGTTGGGTTCTTGCCCTGGGCCTCCTGTGGGACAGCCTGGCAGCTGCTGTCACGCTGGCAGGTCGGCCCAGTAGTTCTGTTTAATCATGTCCTTGTGAAAACTGTGCCACTGAAACTTCATGTCCACTTTGCTTTTGTGAGTCTAAAGAACAAGGCCTGGTTCCTCAAGCAGTGTTCAGAGGAGGGAAAGGGGGAACGGGGAGTTCCTGCTGGAAACTTGTCGCACATCACAGCGGCAACGTCACAGCTGTAAGCATTAGACAATAAACTTATTTAATTAAACTCTCTCCTGTGTCTTGTCTGTGCCACATGTAATTCATGTGCAGATTTTGATAATTTCTAACATGCCTTGATCGTGAGGTAGGTCTGGAAGGCTCCTTTTTCCCTCTTCATTCTTCCTCTTTCTAGAATATGTCTGATTAAATTAAACTAATTAAAAAATCTCAAGATTCCTCCCCTTAAAGTCATTGAGCTCTTCTGCTCTGCTGTAATCAGTTGCTTTTTCCCTTTGATGTCACATTCCTTCTGTCTTCTCTCATGCTTAACTTGAAAGTAACTTCGTGATCTTAAGCAAGTTTTCTGCTTCATTTCCAAGCTAGGAAAGTCTCCCTAATTAAGCTTCCTCATCCACATCTATTTCAGTGGCAAGGCTGATGTTGGTGTGTGCTTGTGAAAACTCTTGTATCCTGATCTCTAAGCAGTGGTGGCTGTTTACATAATCAGAAGCAGTGCACTGTGTGCATCTGCACTGAAGGTTTGTTTGGGAAAAGATTTATCTAGGAGGGATTAGACTGCATGAAGGTTCAGCCTGGGTACTCGGATGTGTCCTTGAGAGGGAAAGCTGAAAGGCTCTGTGCTCAGGGTGAAACACCTCCCACCTTCAGCAGAAGTCCCTGGCTGGGTCCTACACCATTCCAGTTTGGACCAGTTGATATTGTCACCATCGTCGTCACCCACAAGGATCATTGAGTCCAACTCTTGGCCTTGCACATGACACCCCCAACAATCCCTGAGAGCATTGTCCAAATGCTCCTTGAACTCTTTCAGGCTTAGTGCTGTGACCACCTCCCTGGGATCCTGTTCAGTGCCCAACCACCCTCTGAGTGAAGAACCTTTTTCCAATATCCAACCTAAACCTCCCCTGACAGAGCTTTGTGCTGGTCCCTTGGGTCCTGTCACTGGTCATCAGAGGGATCAGTGCCTGCCCCTCCAGTTCCCTCATGAGGAAGCTGCAGACTGCCATGAGGTGTCCCCTCAGTCTCCACTTCTCCAGGCTGTTTGAGTTGTTTGAGTGCTGCTGCTTGTGCCTGTGGGCAAGAGAATCGTGTCCCCTTCGTGCCATCTGCCTCGTCTGGAGCATGTGGTGCCACAACACAACCACAGTTACCTAAGCACCTTCCCTGGAATGAGCCAGAAGTGCAGAGATGAATGTAGTGAGAAACGAGCCATTCTGAAAATTAAACAGCACTTTTATTACGGATATTCTGTCAAGGCATGATAGACTGAGCAGTTAGGAATGCTTTTTGTCACAGAATTACACATGAAAATCACAGAATCATTCCCACAAATACTTTGTTTTGCCCTACATGTAAAGCAAAGGACCTTGATTACAAGAAGAGTTGTACGTTTCAGCCATCTGAACTGGGCAGTTAGTTTTCAAATGAATTTCTCATTGTCCAGTTTTAAAACTTGGTGAAAGGATCTTGGACAGGTTTTTCTGCTGCACACTTCAGAGCCAATGCGTAGGTGTAGACCCTGGCATCTACAGCAAGGTGATCTTGTGCTACTAGCTCTGGAAACAAAAGCACAAAATTAGGGGATGCTGTTAAAACCTCTCCTCTACAGGAATGCAAGCCCTTCACAAAAATTGTGTAGCATTCCAGACAGGAATTCTCAATGTTAACACCTACTGCTATCACTGACTTTCATACCTGGCCAGGTCTCTCATGGCTTTTTGCTTAAGATACAGTATTCTAGGGTGAGAAATGCCATGAGGAGCTCTGAAAAGAGAAGTTAAGGGTTTCCTGAAGCTTGCATTAGTGCATTTATGTGCCATAAGGCTCTTACCATCAATTCTTTGCAGTAGGTCGTTCTTTGGAAGGGAAATAACTTCCACAAATTCTAGGAGAGAAGAAAAAAATGTACACACCCTTAAATTAGTAAACAGCAGAGAAAATTTATCTGTGTCCTGATTCTTGCAGTTTAGAAGGGGAAAGAAACTGACTTGATGCTCATCACCATCCAAAAGCTGTGAACATTCATGGATCAAAACCAGGTCAATTAAATGGGAGAAGGCAGTGACTGGGGTCATTAGAAAACATGTTTGGCAGAAAGAAGCTGGGAAACAGCTGGGAAAAAGGTGTAGCTGACAGCTACAGAGGATAAGAATCCTTCCAAAAGGAGACCTTCTCCCTTCTGAGAATGGAAAATAAAGTGGACTTTGGCTTCTGCTGGTACAGGAATGGATTTGAGATGCATTTCCAGACCAAACCAACACAAGGAGTTTGTTCATAATGACTTTGGCTTACACCTCCCCCATCTCTCTAAATTACTTGCCTCTGGGGCTTGACCTGCAGCTATTGTGGGTTCAGTCATCTGTATTTCCTGATTGCACCAGTGTTATAGATGCAATACTTGGAAAGATAATTGATGTGATAGTGCCCCACAGGAACCTTCATGTCTAGGCCAAAGTCAGTCTCAGGCATGTTTGATCAGGGTCAGGAGATCAACCAAGCACAAATAAAAACCAGTTTTAACTGACATTTCCTAAGTAAAACTTGCCACACGCAGATCACACTTGTCAGTGGGAGCACAGATACATTACATACCTCCATCATCTGCAAGTGAAAACAAAAAGTAGAAAATTAAGGGGTTTGATATACACTATAGAGTTTACAACTAAAAAGCATTTTGATAGCTGACTGATTGTGAGTGACACTGTAATTACTTCTAGGGTGAAGCTGCAGCTGAGAGGACTATCTAGGTTCACAGGTGCTTATGGCCCACCCTGAAGTTTGGCCCTGAAATGTCTCATTCTGGGTGTGCCAAGAGCTAACCCTTCACACAGAGGCCTCCCCAGTGAATTCAGCAGACACACACTCTGCTCATCTAGACTGCAGGATGTGATCTGAAGGACATGCAGCATCTAAATCAGCTGGGACAGAAGAGATGGATGGTGAGGGCAGTTCTTTTAAACCCATTTTTTGTTATCTTCTCAAACTTTTCAAATACATGGGACAAAGCTCACCAAGTTTCTGCTTAGGTCTTGTATTCTCAGCCTTATCTCCATTAATGATGACATTCACGATGTGTGTTGTGCTGTTTGACATTCCTGGGTCCAAGCACAGAGCTGCCAACAAGCACAGGAGAGGTTAATTTTCAAAGCAGGAGTCAGACACCTCGACATTTGAACAAAAGCCTTCACAGCAACGTGTCTGATACAGCAGGAGAACAGACACGTGGCACAGGTTCACACTGGAAGAGCAGCTAAAGGTTTGATTCACATGCAGTTAAAGTGATGTTTCTGTAACTCTCAGCTCTTCTACAGATCCCTGGTAAGGCTTGTGTCCAGCAGCTAAGTTTTCTTTCCATTCCACAGACTGAAGATTTAACTAAACTATCCCATACAGACTTCCTCAGCCTATTGGAGTCTAATTTTGCCATCACCTGCCTCCACCTCTCTGTGCCCACCATGCAGCTGTACCTGCTAACCAACCTCAGCTGCAATGACATTTCTGGGAAATCATATCTGTTGCCTCACCTTTCTACCTTCTCAAGTTTGATTTCTGATCCTTGTTTCTCCCTCACTGCATTTTATGTAGGAAGCATGGGATTGGCAACAATCACGTTCCAAAGGATTTCTGAATTTCCTCCAGTTATTCTCTCCTTTCTGGCTGGAGAACCTGAGTAGTCACCTCCCCACAGCTGACAGGAGGGTGACTTCCACTCAGGCTGCATCATGCGGCTATTTTTTTCTACCTAAGTTCACAGAAGTCCAGTAATTTAGACATTCATACTCGAATTCCAAATCACAGCTTGAACAATTGGGTTTTGTGTAAAGCATCTCAATGAATAGTAAATTTTCCCCCTACAGACATCAAACTTTCTTCAGACCTGTGTGTGTAACAGAAGTTCAGCAACTGACTCACATCAAGGACTTCAGTGGCACAGCCAGGAGATGCTACTCCGCTAATCTGCACAGGCTTTTGCTGTACAGATTTTTCCTTTGGTTTAGGGCATTTAGGCTTTTTGAGTAGCCATCAAAGACAGAATGAACTTTGGTGGGGAAATGAAAAAAGCAAAGACCTGGAGTACAGTCAATGACCTCCCCCTTGTACCCAGTTTCCTCCTTCAGCTCTCGCAGGGCAGCACTTTCTGCAGACTCGTTTTCCTCAATGAGGCCTGGGAGATAAATAACACAGGACAATTAAAAACCTACTGCTTAACTGCAGTGCCCATCCCAAGCTTTATGGAAAAGGTGAAACATCCTCACTACCCTAATTTTACAGAGGGACAAACTGAAGCACCAGGAAGGATTCCAGTTCCTGAATTCATCACTCTGCTGCCCACATCCTGAACTGGTTAGCTACAGAACCATGTTGCCTTCCCAGGAAATGGCATCAATGTTCTCATGAGGGAAAGAAGCCAAAAGCTTTGACTTTTAGAGAAAGGAGAAGTGGGAGGAGATTTCTCCAATCTGCTAAAACAAACTAATTCTTGTTTTCTTCATTATCAAATACTCCTACTTTGGAAGAGCACACTGAGCTCAGCATGGTTTTCCAGCTAGAGCTAATTGCTAGATTGATACCCCAAGCACAACTGAACACACTGAACTGTCAGCTTCATGCAACTCATCTGAATGTTCCAGTCACTTACCTGCAGGAAATTCCAAGCAGTAGCCATTGATTGGGGGCCTGAACTGTTTCACTAGGACAATGCAGTCATAGTGCAGAGATCTCTGTAGCACTGCAATCACTGCTACACCTACAACAGTGATGGAGGACACGAGTACATATTGAGTACAGCAGAAAGGATTTGGTGCTAGACCTGGAAAGGAGCCCAAGCTGTGTTACTCTGAGCATTAAACACTCAAGTGTCTCCTGCAGAGCCCTGAATGATGAATTTCAGCTCTTTATATCATGTGTGGGGAGAGATAAAAGCTCCAAAGAGGATCTTCAAAGCACCCTAACAAATGAGAGGCACAGGTAGCTAGCAAGACTGAACCACAGTCCACCAGTTAGCTAGGGAAGGGCTGTCCTGCCTGCAGAGACTGCTAGGAAGCCACAATATGGAACTCCCTCCTATGCTCCTCTAATGGCTAAATCGTGTTCCTCTTGTGCCCAGAGAAAAACATGTCCTTAGCCCCTAACAGCAGACCCAACTCACCAGTCTGTGAGCCACAGTGTACCAGAGCATCCCTGATGTCTTTGGAATTGCTCCATTATTCTGAAGTGAATACAATGACCTTGGGAAAGCACTCCTACCAGTAAGGTCTGATTCTTCAGCACTTAAGGTAGCATTTCTTTAGCTCAGGGGTAGAGCAAGCTCTGCTGAGCTGTGTTCTGAATCCTCATTCCCTCAGAAACAGCTCTAAGTCTGCACTGGGAGTTTATCAGGAGAACTTCCACGGGGAAAAAAATGCAAACAAAAAAAGCCTTACCATCGGCTGTAACTCCCTTTTTGTTGCCAGTACGCTTTACAGTTTCCCAAGTTCTGTTTAACATGGAGAAAAGAACAAGAGAACATATAAGTCAACTTCCACCCTTGCTGCTTCCATTTCAAAGCAAAATCTACCATCACACCATGAGGCCCCATAAGAAATCAGATGGCCTTAGGCAGGCCCTGTCACATAGTGGCACTATAGAATGTCTGTAGCATAATTTTCTTTTGCTTCCTTAAGAAAGGAGAGAGAAAATAGTTAATTAATGATCATTTAAGATCACTAAAAATAAGGGAAAGACATAAATGACTGTCACAGAATAGGCAAGTCCTACAAAGTCATCCTGGCAAAGAGCAAAATAAAGCAATTTATGTATAAAACATGTCAGATTTTGCAGGAAAATGATGTGACAAGATCACATGAATTCTATCTGTGAATCCACCAGTTCACAAGGAACTGGAAATGCAATGTAAACCAGGGTCCAATGTGCCCCAGAGGACTTAGGAGGCAAATCCAATCCCACCTGCTGGAGGAAGATTCTTTTCTCCGAGCAGTGTAAGCTCTGAAGGAGCAGCACAATGAACAGCTCTCACCTGGTGTGGAGTGATGTGTTTGCAATGCTCATGTTCCCTAGCCTGGGGCCACTCTGTGCAATTGGGAATCTGAAATACTACAGAGGCAATTACCTGGTTTTACCGAAGGGATCAGTGTAAGTTGTTTCTTCAAGCTTCAACCATTTTCTTTCTACGATTACCTAAAATAAAGAATATTTTGTTAAATACCTTCTAAGATTAATCCCAAAGGCTAAAGGGAGGAACAACACAATTGGTTTTGGATTCTTTTGAAGACACGATTTCAGCATCACAATTCGTGCAGGAATGTGCAACGACATTCCTGCAGCTGATGCTGAAAAGAAACACTTATAATAAGCCCAAGAAAGTAACTTTTCTTAACGTGACCTTTATAACCAAGTTTCAATGAATTCAGTGGGATTTTATGTACTGGAAAGTCCTCACCTTTTTAGAAGGATTTTGCAAGGGTCATGTTTCAGCTGGAAAGGGTCACTGGGCTGCACAGACTTTAGCTCTGCTGGTGCAGAGAGCATGGCCTGACAGCTGAGCATGCCAGGCTGGAAACCAAACTACCCTGAAACTTCTCTGCCCTGATCTCACACTGTGGCCTTGTGTAACTGCTGTTTTCTGCAGCTCTGGGCAATACACACCTGCCCTTTAGCATTTCTGAGAGCTGCTGATGGAGTGCTTGGCATTAAGACTCTGACAAAGTGTCTTTCCTGAGCTAAATGAGTTCATCTCCTCTGTGATGTTTCCTCATCATTTAAACAGGAAAAAACCCTAGACATTAGCCCAGCAATTTACTTCTTTGAATGTAACTTGTTTTAGAATGAGTTATTTTTGTTGATTTGTGTGTTACTTTGATGGGCAAGTAACACCTGCTTTGCTTACAAGAGCCTGACTGTGGGTTTCCAGAAACAAGAGGAATGAAGTAAGATCAGCTGCCACTTTCATGGAAGAAGATATTCCAACATCAGACCACACAGTCACTGCAGAGTTACAGAACCCCTTCTAGTACAAGGGTTACTGGCACAGGCATGGAAAATACTTCCCTGTATTAAGCCCACAAAATGAAAAAAAATATGTAAGATCTAATTACAAACTTCTGGTGCCACCAGAGTAGAGTATTTTGAAAGAGAATCACTAAAAGGCATTGTGAAAAAAACCAAACAACAAAACAAACAAAACCCCAAACAAAACCAAGCGAAAAAAAAGAGGATAAAAAGAAAATGCTCACTGCAAAAACCCAGATCTTAACAGAAATCCCAAACAGGTTACAAAAATCAAACCCTTTATGCTTGAGAAATATTCATATTTAAAAAATACCCAAAGGAAAAGACATAAATATAACCCAAACAAATATCTTCTCTCCTGAAAAAGTTTTGTACATTGAAACCTAAGGAAATTACAGGAATGTGTTCACAGAAGAGCCACTAAAAGAAACTACATTTGTGTTAGGACAGTGTGACACTGCCAAACTGCCTTAACAACAGCTATTAACTTTTAAGAATCCAATTAAAAGAGAACAGAAACAAATATAGGCAGTTTAAATTAGGGTCAAAGTGCTCCTAAGAAGCAGCCAGAAGTACCTCCATAATCCTCCTTCAGGATTGATATCAATCTTAATACCTCCTTGCTAAAGTCTTTAGCACAGCAACTACCTAAACTCAAAGCCTTTCTGAAGCATGAAAGGTGGAACAATCCTGAACGTTGAGGCAACCCTTGTCGTGTGAAAGGAACAGAAAACAAGGCTGAGTTTCATGACCCACCGATTTGTAAAGTCTCTCAGAGGTATCAGCATTATTTTTTCTGAACATTGAAAACCTCCTGAACAGACAATACAAGAAACAGCTGCAAAATCTGAAAAAAAAAGAAGCAGCTTAAAATAATGCATCAGGTTTCTCTCTCCCCACTGATCATCTGTATGATTATTTCAACAGAGAGGAATGTCACCTTTTTTAAACTCTGTCAGGAAGAAATGTTGTCTATGGAGATTTACAAACGTAGCATTTCTTACTCTGCACTCTCTCGGATCAGTCTCAACAGTCATTCAACAACAAAACGTGTCAAACCCAAACGTGCTGTACCTCCTCCTTAACGACGAACTGTTTGGCTGGTTTTGGAACCCCTGTGGATGTCTCAGCTGCCATTTTCAGGATGTCAGGCTTTTCCCCTCCTGTATAAAGTCCAGATATATGAAACAAGGTCAATATTTGCTTTCAGTGTAAAGTTAAAAGGTTCATTTCTGCATTCTGAATTAACAAGTATGGTTTGCAGGAGAAAGTCAGGGACATGTCACGGCAGGTTCAATTCACATGTTCAGCTCCACCCAATGGTGTCAGTCATGTAATTCAGAGGAGAAGCATGAATTTGGGTCAAATCCCTGATTTGCATAGTTGTAATCGTCCTATCAGCTGCTGAGCAGCTATGCCGACTGAAGATTTCTTAACTATTTAGATGTCAGACACACAGAGACAAAATTCACCCATTCCAGTCCAATTGTTTCATTCTGATCTGGGTGAAGTGCTCTGTCAGCTGTGTGGACAACAGGACTACACACTCTGCTGTGGAAGTGGGAAAAAGAACCTCATACCAAGAGGATTTCAGTGCTAAAAACTGCTGTTAAGAATCAGAACTAGAACCTACCTCCACCTTACATGACAAACACATAAATGACTCAATCTCCCACCAAAAGACAAGGTCAAAAAGCCACACCAGTGTTGCAAGTCTAGGTGGCACGTGGAGCTGGTGTGACCAAAGCATGTCAGTCTCGTGCTGGGAATGATGTGCAAAAGGCACTGTAATATATGCCCAAAGCAAAGCTCTGCACCTGCAGCTCAGTGCCTCAGCCTGCATCCCCACACCCCCTAGGGAGGTGATTGTCCACCCACTCCCTCAGTCCAGTTCCAGCAGAGCAGGAAAATATGCTGTGCTGGAGACAGACCCTGTCTCACTGCAGGGCCACAAGGCACTTTCTGCACACGAACTTATACCAAGGAAACTCATCAGTGACATTAAGTCGTAATACTGAAGTGCTGCAAATGAGTGTGAATCATGAAGCAAAAGCCAGTGCAAAGAAGCAAATTCTCTGAACACCAGGAGAGATGCGATAAAGATGTCCATCATCCAGAGTACTGATGGTCATAACCTTCCCATGAAGTCAACAGGAATCTTTCTGTGACTTCCACTGTGCCTTAATAAGGCTCTGTGAGGTCTTTAGTAATGAACAATACCAGAAGTGTCACACTCAATTTTAGCACTTTCATTTTTTACTTAATCTTTATGCTTTTATGACAGTGTCTACCACACATTTGTGAAACATGTGAAGAGCAGGCAGCAACAATCAGCTTTCTTACATACTGGATTTGCATCTAATACCACTAAGTAGTTAAAAGGAATAGGTAGGACTAAATATTTATCAGCAGGGGTAAAACTAACATACCTAAATCCATTTCCCCAGTCTGTACACAGGGCAGGCTCGCTCTTAAAACAGTCTTGTTGGATGAGGAAGGTCACAGAGGCCAAATGCTGATACTGGTTCTATGTAACATAAATCTTGAAAAGAAACTCTGACCTGTTAAACCCAATTCTGTTCTTTAAAAAATATGTTCTGTTAGCCTGTCTGAAAGGAATGAAGCTCCTACACAGGTTTCCTATCTACCTTACTTATGTGAAAAACTGCTCAAGAACGTCACTTGCTTTTCTTCCAGTTTTGTCCCACGTTAGTTTAGTCAGTCACTACCCATTTGTTCCTGAGCCAGCAGTGCCTGGAACTCCCTTCACTCAGGATTTAAGAGTTTTATCTGGACAATGGCCATGGTCTCTTGCTGTGACTCTCAAAGACAAGTTCAAGCTTTCCACTAAATTTATGCAATAAAAGCACAGCCCAGCACAGCAGTTCCAAGAGGTTCCTAGTCCAGAGGAACAAAGAGGGCTCTTGTGTGATGCCTGTAGTATACAGCCTTAAAAACATAAAAACCTCCCAGCTACAGCAAATTCACCTCTGATGTTTGGAAAGAATTACAGCCTTTTGCATTGTCAATTCAAATGTATCAAAGGAGTAGATGGAGAACCATATCCTTGTTAAAAGGCCTTTTTGGATGGAGTTGAGTAAGTCTTCCTCTTTCTGTCTGCCCTCACAGGAAATCCTGTTCCACTGATCACACTAATCCTTCTGAATAAGCTTGCAAGCATCAGAGTCTCTTTCTCAAACGTGGATTACCACAGCTGTACCCTGAATCCCACAAGCAGCTGCAGGAATGGTTTGTACAACACTATGAACACTCAACTACATCAGTGACAAAAACATACTGGAACCTCATCTCTTGGCAGAAGCTGTTTCCAACACAGCTTCTCTCTTCTGACAAATTCCAGGGTGGCTTGCTACTGAAAATAACAAAAATACACAGCTCCAGTGTTTTGAATTATCACTAAAATCCAAAATGGGTGAACAGGAGAGAGAGGAAGATCTGTAGTCTGGACCTCCTCCGCAAGTGGGTGCAGTAACTCTATGTACAGTGACATTTTTACAAGTTCCACTGAAAAAAAAGGTAATTTTTTTTTCCAAATTCAGTTGTCTGTACAGAAGTGAGAATTCTGGCTGTAGGAAAGCTGAAATACCATTTGGTTAAACAAAGGCTGCAGTTCTGGTGTCTCATGTCAGTCCTGTTGTCAAGGGCAACAACATCTTTTGTGATAAACAAAATCGGCTGCAACTGAAAATTATACTCAACGCCACAAGGTTAGGTTTCTAAAGGCCTGTGTGAGGTTTCAGAATACACCTTATCTTGCAGCCCTTGACAGGATGGTTCTTCTTCTATCTGAAAAAATTCCACTGCATCATTTGAGTTCAAAACACAGCACAGCCCACACAGCAGCCTGGGAACCTGCGCTGGACTTAGGATCACATGAGCTCTAAGAATATACATTTTTAATACTTATCAGTGCAATCTTAGGAATATATCAACATGCCCACATTTATCAGCCTTCTTAACATGCATCAACAGCAGCTGAACTGTAAATTATGGGGAAAAACAAATGTTTGGCCTGATGATTTTTGTGCTGACAAGTCATGCTCCTTGTTCAGTTTATTTCCTATTGGGGTCAAACTAACACATGAAAAGGGCCTGAGTTTGCAATTTATAAAGTGTATAACTTTATTCCCATTGCTAATTCCTTTATTGAGTGGCTTCCTCTCAAGGCAACATCCAGCCACCCTACAGCTTCCAAAGTATCCTTCCCAGGAGCTAAAGTCTTAAGCCAAGTGAAGTCTGTGAATCAGCTCAAGAGAGAAGCCAAGGTATCAGGGCTATATGTTATCAACATTTACATATATAGATTAGTTTTTCTAAATAACTTTTCAGAAGACATTCTCTGACCCAAACACTCATCTCAGCTGACAGCAGCCAGATTTTATGGAAGCTCAGCAATGGTGTCATACAACAAAATACAGGTTTGCTGCTAAAGAATGTGCAAAAGGGACACTGGCAGTGGTTGAGGCACGATTTAACCAGCAGCACTCTATGAGTGCTGAAGATAAACATCACTAAAAGCTCCTAAGTCACTTTCAACTTGTTTCTATCAGTCACTGCACTTGTGATTCAGCACTGTGATTCTAGAAACAAAACCAGTTAATTAGCAGAAGTTGATGGGAGAGGGAGAAAAGTGGGGGGGGAAATGCTTTTGTTTTTTCATGGTATTTAGCTGCATGGATGATGCACTGGGTGCTAAGTAAAATATGGACAAATAAGCAGTCCTTGCCCTGCAGAACAGCCAACAAGGCCTATCTCACACGATCAGCAGAGGGCCAGCAGCATGTCCGTGTCATTATCAATCTTCCAGAGAGCTGAGGAGTGAGAGGGATGGGGGGGATGGCCCCAAACTGCAGATCACTGAACCGCAGAATCAATCAGGTAGGAAAAGATCTCTGAGACCATCAAGTCCAACCTATGACCTGACACCCCCATGTCAAATAGACCATGGCACTAAGTGCCATGTTCAGTCTCTCCTTATACACTTCCAGGGATGATGACTCCACCACCTCCCCGGGCAGCACATTCCAGTGTCTAATCACTCCTTCTGGGAAGAAATTCTTGCTGATGTCTAACCCAAACCTCCCCTGGCACGGCTTGATTCTATATGCTATCGTCCTGTCACTTGTTGCCCGGGAGAAGAGCCTGACCTGGCTCCAACCTCCTGCCAGGGAGCTGCAGAGTACCACAATTCAGAGACCAGGAAAACATCAGATGGAAACATTTCCATGCAAGGCACACACAGGCACAGAGACAACACAGGGCTTAAAAAAGAACATGTATTATTGGGTTATTACTTGACTCAGGACAAAAACACGAAACGAAACCGCTCGAGATGAGGCAGCTCTGGCGCTCACAGCTCCGGAGATGAGACGGCGCAAGGAAGGCAGGA